GGCTGTCCTTCAACTGACCCGGGCGCCACCCGAGCTCTGGCCGAGCCTTCTAGACGGCGGCGCTTCTTCCTCTTCTTTTAAAGGTTTATGTATTTCAGGGCTGGCGCTGTGGCGTAGCGGGTAAGGCCGCCGCCTGCAGGGCTGGCATCCCATATGGGCACAGGTTCATGTCCTGGCTGCTCCACTTCTAATCTAGCTCTCCGCTATGGCCTGGGAAAGCAGTAGAAGATGGTCCAAGTCCTTGAGCCCCTGCACCCGTGTGGGAGACCCAAAAGAAGATCCTGGCTCCTGGCTTTGAATTGGCCCAGTTCCAGTCGTTGGAGCCAACTGGGGAGTGAACCAGCAGATGGAAGACCTCTCTCTGAGCAAGTTTTTCAAGTAAATAAATAAATAAATCTTAAAAAAAAAAAAAAGGGTTTATGTATTTGAAAGGCACAGCAACAGAGAGAGATAGAGAGAGCGCGCGCGCGATCTTCTTCCACCTGCTGTGTCACTCCCCAAATGGCTGCAACAGTTAGGAGGTCTGGGCCAGGCTGCAGCCCAGGGCCAGGAACTTCATCCTGGTCTCAGATGTGGGCAGGCAGGGGTCCACTTACTTGGGCCATCTTCTGCTTCCTTCCCAGGTAAGGAACTGGATCTGAAGTGGAGCAACCAGGACTCAGGCCGGCTCTCTCTCTTACGGTGCCAGTGTGGCAGGTGGTGGTTTAACCCGTGGCACCACAACCCCAATCCTGGCAATGCCTCATCTTCCAGGCCTTCCACCCTGGTTTTCTCAGGGCTGCTTTGCAGCAACTTCAGTATCCAAGACAAACACACATGTGCAAAGCTGCTGAGGAATGAGCGTGGGATCAAGTCTTCAACGTGTCCTCCCCCCACGACGTCTCTCAGCACCCATCCAAGCAGGCAGAGGCACCAAGCGCCAGGGCCAGTGATGGTCCCCAGTTTGCGCATGTCAGAGCCGGAGGGCACGCTGGCGGGGAGCTGGCCCACGGGCACTTCTTTGACAGGTAGGCAGAGGGCCTCTGGGAGTGAGGCTCCCGTTCCTCCTCTGTCCTGGCAGCGGGCTTGCAGAGTTCACTGTTGGGTGCACTTGACCCTGGCCTTCCTAGAAGGGAGAGGCTGCTGTTCTCTACCAGCTGCCCCAGGAACAAGGGGGTCTGCACATTTTCACTTACCTGATGGGAAAAAAACTGCATAGAGCTGAGACAGCGGAAATAACCTGTCTCCAGGCAGTAGAACTGGGATGAACGGGCAGCTGTGCTGTCTAATGCAGGGAGTATGGAGGCGGCCAAGACCTCCCTCATGGAGGTCAGGCTCGGGAGAGTTAAAGGGGAAATGCAGGCACTCCCCACGTATGTCCCAGAGAGCCAGGAAAGGCCTTCCAGACGCAGCCTGAAGGTGGACAGAATTGGGCAGGTGCAGGTGGGGAATGGAGTGGGAGAGAGTCCTAGGCAGCAAGAAAGGATGGCGGGAAAGTGCCACACAGGAGGGAGAGGAGACAGGAGGCTTGGGAGAGGGGTCCGTCAGTCCCGTCTTTAGAAAGCATCTGGGCTGTAGGGGGCAATGGAGACCATTTGTGGCTTTCAGGCTAGGGTGTGACCATCATACTTGCACTCTGAAGACCACAGTGGAGGGGAACAGGTGTGCGTGGGAAGGAGGGAACAGGACCGGCTATGGAGAAGCCTGTTGGAAGCAGATGTTATATCAAGCCAGGAGGGTACGGTGGCATGCTCAATGATTCAAATGAGATTAATGATGAGGAAAAGCCTTTAAAAACAAAAACAAAACAGGGGCAAGCATGCTATGGTGGGTTAAGCTGTCAGCTGTCACTCTGTCACTTGGGATGCCTGCGCCCTATATCAGAGCACCTGGGTTCAAGCCCCCCACTCTCACCCCCGGCCCTGTTTCCGATCCGGCTTCCTGCTAATGCACATCCTGGGTGGCAGCAGGTCATGGCTCAAGTACTCGGGTCCCTGCCACCCATGTGGGAGATGCAGATGGAGTTTCTGGTTCCAGTTTCAGTCTGGCTCAGCCTTGCCTGTTGCAGGCATTTGGGGAGTGAACCAGCAGATGGAAGATCTCTCTGTTACCCTGCTTTTCAAATTCAATAAAAATAAACAAACGTAAAAGAACAAAAGACTACGGCATGAGGTTTTTGCACTCTTTCCCAGACTCTTCTAACCGGACTTCAGTCTCACCCCTCCCTTGCTTTCGGGGAAGCCTGTGCCTCTGGCCCCCTCTACATGAAGCCTCACTCACCCCACTCTGCCTGGCTGGCTCCCAGTCTTCTTTTCCACTGTGTTCTACGTCATCCTGAGTTTACGCAGAGAGGCTCACTGTGCTGTCCTGTGTTAACTGTGCCACCTTCCCAAAGGGCAGGAAGCTGGATCTTCTATCGCTAGCACTCAGCACGAATCTGCCAGTGGATGCTTAGCAAATGGTTATGTTTGTTGAGTGAATGCACGCTCTCGATACAGACGCAGAACAGCCCGACTTTGCTACTGCAGTGTTTTGCAAATACTTAGACTTCTCGTGGCCAACAGTTAAGAATTACATTTTACACTGCAACCCAGTACATATGCAAGACAGAACTGAAATGCCTCACAAAGCAATCCCTTCCCTATTTAATTTCTATCACATTTACTTGTAAACGGTCCTGACCCAGTACACTCATTTCCTGATTTACTGAAATGCACTAAGGGATGCACCAACGATGGAACATTATTTGGTGTCTTTTCCTGGGTTTCTCTCTGGTTCAAGTAATAGCAACAGCCTGACCCTTCCTTAAGCACTGTTTTCAAACCTTTAAATAATTTACCATGGCCACGTTCCAGCTTCTCTCACCCCCTCCAAACCAGGACTCTAAGCAGGGCTGGTCACTGCCAAGAACACCAGCCCTTGCCCTCTGTCAAACTGCGCGTCAACCGCTTTGAGCGAGCCCTGCGGGGCCTCCCTGCACGACTGGAAGGGAATGAGCCCCGTCGCTCCGGGCATTTACGTCCAGGTTGGAGTTTCAGCGTCGCTGTTTCCCACCAGCCCCTCTCTCTCCTGTCCAGTGTTTTGTCAAGAACACACGTACGACTCATTAGGCTGACTATCCCTGCCGAGGAGCCATTTCTGTTCGGCTCACCACCAACACTGTATGTCTCCACACTAACTCAGCTTTTGTCCAAACCGCCAAATCGGTTCCAAGAGGCAGGAGGACCGGGCGGGGAGCGGCGCTCCCGCGCGGGCAGTGCGGGCCGGGAGCGGTCACCAAGCTGGACAGTCCCGCCTTTCCAGCCGACTCAATGCTACAGACGTGCAGAGCCTCCTGCCGGGCCCCGAGCGTCGTAATAAATAATTGAGCCTGACTGCTCAGGGAGTGACATTCCACCTCCAAGTCGGGCTAGCCTACAACTCCCAGCAGCCATTGCGCGTGTCCGTGGACTCCATCTCCCGGCAGGCCCCACGCCCTGCCGGCCGCTCAATGGCCCGCGCCGAGTAGCTTTTTTCCTTTTTTTACCTGCCAGTTGAGAATGTCTGGAAACGGAGGGGTAGTAGCGGTCTGCCTGGGAAAGGGCCGTTCCGAATCCCGACCCGAAATAAGTGCACCAACATGCTGGGGAGAGAAATAAGAAGCCGCCGGCACCGGCAGTTCGACTCTCATCTCACTAAGAACTCCATATTGGCTCCGGCCCCCATCCCGACAACCTCTTCGCCCCGCGGCAATGATTGGCGGATAGATGCATCTATCTCATTGCAAACCGTGATTGGAGAAAACGTTGTCGGCCTTTCTCCTTTCGGAGCTGTGATTGGAGAGTATCGCCTGCCCTCCCTCCCCCAGCCGGAATGGGCAGCGCTTTCCACCTGGTGCCCGGGTCGGTTCTGGTGACGTTTTGAGGGTGTGCCGGGCGCGTCCCCCCTTCCATCCTTGGGTTTCCATAGTCACCCGCCGGCCTCTGACCTCGGGCTACCTTCCTGCAGGTACTCCAGGCGGTGTGTAGATATCCTGGAGTTGCCAAGGAATGTACCGCTGTGGGGCCACGAATGAACAAAAGACTGGGAGGTTTTTTGTTTTCCAAATGGTTTGCAAACCATTCGTGTCAGAAGCCCTGGGATGGCAGCCAGGTGTATTTTTGAAAAAAGTCCTGCGGTGGATACCCCCTCCCTACCTCTCAACTACTGAGAACTATTGGTGTGGAGGTCCTGTGGTTTATGAAGTTATGACCTCTGCCCTGTCACCCGGACAGATGCCTTCCTCACCAGTCACGACTACTTGCCCAAGGCGCCTACTGAACAGTGCTGGCTGCTCCGCCTAGCACTTCCGTGTGCTTGTTTATTTGCATAGCTGCCTCCCTCACTGGGCTGTGACTTAGTGATCTGGCTCCTTCCCTTCCAAACAGATGCCCCCTGGCCCGGGGGCAGGGGTGTGGATGGGAAGTTGTCAGCAGGTGAATCAGGAGTGGAACTAGGCAGTACAATGTGCCAGGATTGGCCCACTCTCTGGAGAGGGCTCCTGATGTGAGCATGATGGAATATTCACGATACTAAGTGATATTGGCCAAGAGGGAAGAGAGACTAGACAAAGCCCCCCTCCCAGAACCCATCTTGACCCATGTCCCAGAAAGATCGTGGCGATTCCTGGTACCCCCTTGGAGCGTGAAGCTCCATTTTGCCACCTCCAGAATGGCAGGATCTCATTTCTATAGCTCTACCTCTACAGCAACAACCAAATACAAGTCCTAAGCTACTGTGTCCACTGGCCTCTCAGCAAGGAGGCATGGAGGGAGGAAAACAGGCACACGTGGACTTGAGTTCTGTGGGCAATTCCTTGAATTCCTGCACGTTCCTCCAGTGGAGGATCTGGGAAGCACTGTGCCTGTCTCTCCATTCCTGGGATACCTGCTGTATCTGCCCTGGGGGCCTCAGCCCCCCATCCCCCATCCCCCCCCCCCCCGCCCCGTGGCCCTGACACCTGGTGGCTGAGTCGGTATTCAAGGAATGGGCGGTGACTCAGGGCCTCAAGAATGGCGTTGGGCAAGCCACCACACCAGCTGCCCGGGCATCCGCCGCCTGGCTGAGGCAACAGGGTGCTCCGATGGCTCATCCCTGGGTGCTCACATTATCCCTCCATCCAGGTAGCCCTGATGACCCTGGGGAGCCTCAGCGATTGGGCCAGGACTTGGAGGGTTGGAGATTAGAAAGTCAACATACCAGAACTTCCAAGGAACCCCCCCTTTCTACCTCAAGCTCCCCCCAACCATTCTTCAAATCCAAGAGAGCTGCCTTGTGCTTCACTTCCTTCTTCTCTTTAGTACCCCTCACCTGGCTGCAGAGTTACACAGTCTCCCCTCTTTCTGTCCTTAGCACCCTCAGATGAACAGATCATGCACCTGTTTTCATTCTTTCCCTATTGATCACCATATGTGTGCGTGGAGGGAAGGCAGATAACACTGTAGAAGTGAAGGACTTAACAGCTTGGCCCCAAGATCCTGCAACACCTTAGGAGGATTTTGCGTTCATCTGGGCTGCTGCTCGCTCCTTTAAGCTACTCAAGGCCTGAAGATGGAGGCTATGTGTCTCGTCTTGTCTTGATGCGCTTGCCAACTCCTGCCTCTTAAACTGATGCCCCTCCCAGGCACAGAGGCAGGCCCTTGAGAGCTTTGGCCCTAGATTGCCCTGGAAGGGGCGTGAGTGATCAGGCAGGTGACTGAGAGCTGGGACGCCGGAGGCCTGCCCCGACTGAGTCACCTGGTGCTGTTGTTGTCCTCGTCCTTGTCGAAGGCCCTGTTCAGCGCCACAGACCTCTGTGGCCACAGCAGCAGGTTCCCAACCTTCCAGCCTTCAGGGAGAAGCTGCAGCCTGATGGTGAGCCGAATGGGCTGGGGGGGGAGCAGGGGGCGGCGGGGGCGGTGGGGAGACCTGGGGCCCGGGTCAGTGCCCCTCCTCCCCCTGCCGCTGCTGCCTCCTCCTCCTCCTCCTGCGTGTCGGGGACCCGGGGGAGGAAGGATGTCCATCTTCTCGCTGTCCCCCGCCCCTCATACAAGAAGCTCCTCCTCCTTCTGCCCGTCTGCTCCAGGGCCCCCTTGCCCCGTGCTCCAGAGCACAGGGGCTTCTCAGCCTTGCCACAGTGCCCTCCCCACCCCAGCCACCCCCTCAACACAGGCACAGCCTGCAATGACACCCACCTCTGCTACCCCCTCCTGGGGATCCCACTCCGCACCATCCCTGGCCTCGGCCACTCCCCCGCCCTCGCGCCGGTGCCCCCAGGATCCCCCTGGGCTGCGGATAGGCCCTCTGATTCCAGAGCAGGATTATGAGCGGCTGGAAGACTGTGATCCTGAAGAACCCCAGGACTCACCCCTCCACGGGGAGGAGCAGCAACCCCTGCTTCATGTGCCCGAAGGGCTCCGCGGTGAGAGAGAGTGTGTGTGACAGTGTATGTATGTGTATGTGTGACTGTGGGCATGTGCATCTGGGGGCAGTGGGGAGGTGTGTGTGTGACAGTGTACATGTGTGTGACTGTGGGTGTGTACATCTGGGGGCATTGGGGATCTATGTGTGACAGTGTACGTGTGTGAGTGTGTGTGACTGTGGGCGTGTGCATCTGGGGGCATTGGGGAGCTATGTGTGACAGTGTATGTGTGTGTGGGTGTGTCTTCTGGGGGCATTGGGGAGCTATGTGTGACAGTGTACGTGTGTGAATGTGTGTGACTGTGGGCGTGTGCATCAGGGGGCAGTGGGGAGGTATGTGTGTGACAGTGTACATGTGTGTATGTGACTGTGGGTGTGTGCATCTGGGGGCATTGGGGAGCTATGTGTGACAGTGTACGTGTGTGAGTGTGTGTGACTGTGGGTGTGTGCATCTGGGGGCAGTGGGGAGGTATGTGTGTGACAGTGTATGTGTGTGAGTGTGTGTGACTGTGGGCGTGTGCATCAGGGGGCAGTGGGGAAGTATGTGTGTGACAGTGTACATGTGTGTATATGACTGTGGGTGTGTGCATCAGGGGGCAGTGGGGAGGTATGTGTGTGACAGTGTACGTGTGTGAGTGTGTGTGACTGTGGGTGTGTGCATCTGGGGGCAGTGGGGAGGGGGACCTGGGGCTCCTGGGTGTAGCCCAGGCCTCTGGGGGCAGCAGGCTTTGTCACCGTGGTGAAAGCACCACATCTGACATCCCCTCTTTGCGTCCAGGCTCCTGGCATCATATCCAGAACCTGGACAGCTTCTTCACCAAGATATCCTTCCTGCTGACCAGCGGAGGGGGCACCTTCTTGGCAGGGAGGGTGCCTTGGGGCAGGGGGCTTTCTCAGAAGGGACCCATTCTGCCCAGGCTTATTTCTTAACTCGCCCGACACATCTACAGCTACCACCAGCGGAATGGCTTCGCCTGCATCCTGCTGGAGGATGTCTTTCAGCTGGGGTGAGATGCCGATCCCCGGCCCTCAGCTCTCTGCTCAGGACCCATGGGCTACTCATCAATCCAGTTCTTCCCTAAGCGGCCCAAGGGCTCAGCAGGACGGGCAGGGCTGGGACTGGGGCCTGAGATCCTGAGGAGGCCCTAGGCCTAATCTCTGCCGCATCTCTGCACCTCCTTGTGCCTCCAGACAATTCATTTTCATTGTCACCTTCACGACCTTCCTTCTCCGTTGTGTGGATTACGATGTTCTGTTTGCCAACCAACCAAATAACCATACAAAAACTCAGCCACTTCATAGCAAAGTGACCTTGTCAGATGCCATCCTACCCTCCACCCAGTGTGCCCAGAGGTGAGTGACAGCCCGGGGTGGGGGCAGAGGTGAAGCATACATGGAGACGAGAGGGGGGCAGACGGGATTCCCTTGCCCAATTGTCCCTTGATTATTTTTTTTGAAGATTAAAAACAATTATTTGAAAGGCACAGTTGCAGAGAGAGAGAGAGGGAGAGAGACAGAGAGAGAGATCAATCATCCTACTGGTTCACTCCCTAAATGGCCACAACCAGAGCCAGGAGCCTGGGACTCCATCACGTCTCCCACACGGATGGCAGGGACCCAGGAACTTGGGACATTTTCCGCTGCTTTCCCAGGCACATTAGCAAGGAGCTGGTTTGGAGGCAGAGCAGCTAGGACACAAACCGGTGCTCATATGGGATGCTGATGTCGCAGGTGGCAACTTAGCCCACCGCACCACAATGCTGGCCCCTGCCCCTTGGTCTTGATAAGTGGTTCTCAGAGCTGTTGGTCTCAGTGCCAAAAATACACTGAACATACTTTGAGTTGTACTTAGTTTACAACTAGAATTAAGTTGTATTTAATTTGAACTATAGTAAGTATATTTAAGACCTTTAGAATTGAGCACCCGAGGAGCTTTTCTTTAGGAGAGTCGTACTTATCTATGTACACGTTAGAAATTAGAGCTCAAGGGGCAGCATTGTGGTGTCACAGGTCAAGATACCTCCTGAGACACTAACGTCCCATATGGGGTGCAGGTTCATGTCCTGGCTGCTCCACTTCCAAATCCAGCCCCATGTTAATGGCCTGGGAAAGCAGTGGATGATGGCCCAAGTGTTCGGGCCCCTGCCACCCACCTGGGAGACCCAGATGAAGCTCCTGGCTCCTGACTTTGGCCTGACTCAGCACTGGCTGTTGCAGCCATCTGGGTAGTAAACCAGAGATGGAAGATCTCTCTCTCTATTTGTAACTTTAACTTTCAAATAAATAAATAAATCCTCTAAAAAAGTTCAGAACAACCGTAAAACCTAAGACTGTACAAGAATACATTCCATGGGCTGTCAGGGCATTGTGACATCTTCATGGAAAATGCCACTGCACACTCACGGGAAAATGAAAATGAAAACAGCAGAAAGTGTAGGATTTGAAAAAAAAGTTTGGATTTTTCAGGAACTCGGGAAGGCCTCTTTGGCAGACCCCCTGTGTGGACCCCATTAAAGGGCCAGCTGGTGCCTGCTCCCCACGACTGCTGGCCATCTGTCTCCAAGTCAGGCCTTGCTCTCTGTGGGGCTCCCAACTGTCCCTCACGTCTGCTTGTCCACCCCCTGCAGGATCCACGCCAGCCCCCTGCTGGTCTTCCTCCTGGTTCTGGCTGCTGGCTTCTGGCTGTTCCAGCTGCTTCGCTCAGTCTGCAACCTCTTCAGCTACTGGGACATCCAGGTGTTTTACAGGGAGGCACTGCACATTCCCCCGGTGAGCTGGGCAGGGCCGTCTGCGTGTGGGGTGCTATGCCAAGGTGGCAGAGAAGGTGGGGGGGGGGCGGAGCAGGCAGAGTGAGGCGTCACTGGCACCAGCCCTGGGTTCAGAGTAACATCAGGAGCGGAACGTGCCACTTGGGAGCCACGATCCTTGCCCTAATGGACACGGTTTATTTAGCCGGGTCATATAGAGTGACTTAGAGTCACATGCTTGTGGTGTAAACAGGGAGGGCTGTCATCCTCTGATTTTCAGAACAGGAGGAACCAGGGTTGGGCCTGGATGGGAGCCCCGAGGCAGGAAGGTGGGGGTGGGGAGCAGCGGGCATCTGGGGGCCCTTGGTGAGGAGAGGGACCTGCCAGCCTAAAACTGAGCCCTCAAGACCCCTGTGGGGTGACCCCCCTACTGCGGTTAGCCTCTGTGTTGGCCTCGGCACTGCCCCCATCTGGCTCTGCCCTGTCTTTCCCCTCTCCACCTTGCTCCTCCTCCTTTCAAGCGCAGCTCTGTGGCACAGAGTCCCTGCTCTGCCCCACCCAGAGCAGCACCTTCTGCACTGGGAGAGGGGAGGTTCTAGAAGGTGCACGAGACAGGAGGGGACTGCTAGGCACAGCGGGGAGGAGTCCCAGGAGGCCAGCGTAGCCCAGAAAGGGAAAGCAGGAGCCTCCGGTTCCAGGAGGCTGTCGATCTTCTCTTTCTCTTCCTCCCATCTTTTCCCTCCTGTCTGTCCGGTTCCTTCCAGGGGAAGGGAGACATTGGGCTAAGCTGGAGAGGCTGACCCCGAGGGACTTTGACTGACCAGGGCTGGGAGAACTGAGCAAAAGTGGACTAAAAATGAGGTTCGCAGCTCCCCCAGATGGGGTCTGGCGGAGCGTCCCACCCCCGAGCGCCGACCCAGCCAGGGTCTTAGGAAGGCTAATCTGGGAACAGACCGCAAGACTGCCTGGAGCAGGCTGGGGTTGGGAGTCTGAAAACATGCCTAAACAGAAGGTGGTGAGGATTTGGGTCCAGCTGCGGCTGACACATTGTAAATGGGGAGAGATTCCCCTTCCACTGCCCGCCCCCAGAACTGCCAGCCGTTCTGTCTGTGGCATGACCGGCGGCGGTGGGGCCCAAGGGACAACCCTGCCTTCAAGGAGCTGAAAAGCCAGGTGGAACCCCTGGAGAGTTTGCTAAGCAGGTGTCACAGGAAGTGCCACAAGACTCATGACCATAGGAGCGGCAGGGCTAGGGACAGCGATTCAGATGAGCACGCACAGCCGCACCAAGCGTCAGTGGCAGGGTTAGGGGAGTGCAGAACGAGAAAGGCGGAGGGGCCACGAGGCGTGGAGCTTTGGCCAAGGCGAGTTTATGTGGCGGTTTGTAGGCGGAGCTTCGGTATCACAGCCACTGGCGCTCAGCAGTCCTCTTGTCCCTTTAGGAAGAGCTCAGCTCGGTGCCCTGGGCGGAGGTGCAGTCCCGCCTCCTCGCACTGCAGAGGAGTGGAGGGCTGTGCGTGCAGCCGAGGCCGCTGACCGAGCTGGATGTGCATCACCGCATTCTGCGCTACACCAACTACCAAGTGGCGCTTGCCAACAAGGGCTTGCTGCCGGCCCGCTGCCCGCTGCCCTGGGGAGGCAGTGCGGCCTTCCTCAGCCGCGGCCTGGCGCTCAACGTCGACCTGCTCCTCTTCCGAGGTCCCTTCTCGCTCTTCCGCGGGGGCTGGGAGCTGCCCGACGCCTACAAGCGCAGTGACCAGCGGAGCGCCCTGGCCGCGCGCTGGGGGCGCACGGTGCTGCTGCTGGCCGCCGTGAACCTGGCGCTGAGCCCTCTGGTGCTGGCCTGGCAGGTGCTGTACGCCTTCTACAGCCACGTGGAGCTGCTGCGGCGCGAGCCCGGAGCGTTCGGGGCGCGCCGCTGGTCCCGCCTGGCCCGCCTGCAGCTGCGCCACTTTAACGAGCTCCCGCACGAGTTGCGAGCGCGCCTGGCCCGCGCCTACCGCCCCGCCGCCGCCTTCCTGCGCGCCGCCGCGCCCCCCGCGCCCCTGCGCGCGCTGTTGGCCCGCCAGCTCGTCTTCTTCGCCGGCGCGCTCTTCGCCGCGCTGCTGGTGCTCACCGTCTACGACGAGGACGTGCTCGCCGTGGAACACGTGCTCACCGCTATGACCGCGCTCGGGGTCACGGCCACCGTGGCGAGGTGCGCCGGCCAGGTGTCCGGGATGGTGGTGGGAATGCCCATTTCTCTGATTTGGAGCCCACTGCCCGCGCGCTCCCCAAGTCCTAAATCCCGCCTCCACATCCTCCTAACGGCACCCCCCCTTCCCACCCTGGATCTCGCCCCCCAGGTCTTTCATTCCCGAAGAGCAGTGCCAGGGACGTGCCCCGCAGCTCCTGCTGCAGGCGGCTCTGGCCCACATGCACTACCTTCCGGAGGAGCCAGGCGCTGGCGGCAGGGCCAGCGCCTACCGGCAGATGGCGCAGCTTTTGCAATACCGAGCGGTGAGGGTCGCGCCCACACGCAGGAGGCGACACAGTCCCCGGGGGTGGGGAGGTCTGTGTGGGAGAGGGCACGGGACCGAGGGGCCTGGGACTGGCTCTGGGGAGACGAGGCAGTGTCTGGGTTGGAGGCTTCCTGCTCTGCCCTGTCTCTGGGTGCCTCTTGGTCCTGATGACTGGCGCGGGCCCTAACGCAGCCCCTACCCCCTTTCCCAGGTCTCCCTTCTGGAGGAGCTCCTGTCCCCTCTCCTCACGCCGCTGTTTCTGCTCTTCTGGTTCCGCCCTCGTGCGCTGGAGATTATTGACTTTTTCCATCACTTCACTGTGGACGTGGCTGGGGTTGGGGACATCTGTTCCTTTGCCCTCATGGATGTGAAACGTCACGGCCATCCTCAGGTTAGAGTCCTTCCCCGGCTGCTCAGGGCTGGGCTGGGCTTGCCTCACCCAAAGCAGAGCTGGTAAGTCATTTCACTTTCCTGCGCCCAATGTCCTCTGGAAGCTTGTCGTGAGGCCCACGTGAGATGATGCCAATGCAGTGCATGGTAATGGCAGGAAATGGGAGCCGAGGGTACCAGAGAGGCTGAGAAAGGGGGCAGGGCAGTGGGTGGGGCTGAGCCAGCACCGGCTTCCAGCACGCGGGGCCCTGTCTGCACAGGTGGGTGAAGCCCTGGGGTTGGCTGTGCCCCGGAGCTGGACCTGGCCCCCCGTGCTGCTCCACAGCCTTCCGTTTCCTTCCTGTGGAAAGCGGGGCAGGGTTCAGCCCTGCCGACCCTCACGGGGCGCAGGGTCCTGAGCGTCTGACTGTCTGCCCTTGCTCGCAGTGGCTCTCGGAAGGCCAGACGGAGGCCTCACTGTCTCAGCGTGCAGAGGATGGGAAGACCGAGCTCTCCCTGATGCGATTCTCCCTGGCACACCCACAATGGCGCCCCCCAGGGCACAGCTCCAAGTTCCTCGGGCAGCTTCGTGGCCGGGTTCAGCAAGATGCGGCTGCCTGGGGCACCACCTCGGCTCGCAGCCCCCCCACCCCAGGAGTGCTCAGCAGCTGCACCTCCCCTCTGGTGAGGCCCAGGCCTGGCCGGCTCTTTTATCTTCTCCAGCGCCTAAGCCCTCCACCCCCCTCCCCCCGCCTTCACCTTTCCTATTAATGGGTTGCTGGCCTAGCCCAGCCAGCTCTCCAGTCTTCTTTGAACCTCCTCTTCTCTCTGCTTTCTCTTCTGACTCTGTCTCCCCTTTTCTCTTGCTGCCAGCCGGAGGCCTTCCTGGCCAACCTCTTGGTGCACCCCCTCTTGCCCCCGAGGGACTTGAGCCCCACAACCCCGTGCCCGGCTGCTGCCACAGCCAGCCTCCTTGCCTCCATTTCCCGCATCGCCCAGGACCCCAGGTGAGAGGCGGAGGCCCCAGACGCAAGGGAAGTCAGGGGAGGGGCTGACTGTCCTGGGAGGAGGGAGCTGGGGCAGTGAGGGGGACTTGGGAGGGAGGGGCCCTCCCTCTGGGATGTGAGCGAGCTGCCCTTTGACCTATCATACCCTGTGTTCTAGCTGTGTGTCTCCAGGAGGCAGTGGGGGCCAGAAGCTGGCCCAGCTCCCCGAGCTGGCTTCTGCTGAGATGGGTCTCCATGCCATCTACCTGCACCAGGTGAGCAGAGGGCTGCCAGAAAGGGACATGGCGGGAGGAAGCAGGTGGACAAAATGGGGCCTGGAGTCTTGAGGAGGAGGTATAAAAGCCCTCTGCCCCCAGCTGGGGAGGGGGTTTGGCCTTGCCCCCGGGGGCAGGGGCAGCCCCTCATTCCTTTCCCTCCCATCCAGCTCCATCAGCAGCAACAGCAGGAAGTGTGGGGGGAGGCTGAAGCCTCGTCCCCATCCCGGCCCTGGTCCAGCTCCTCCCAGCCAGCCTCGCCGGACGAGGAAAAGCCATCCTGGTCAAGTGATGGTGAGGAACATGTGTGTGTGTGGGGGGGGGGGGGTGCGGGCAGAGGGCGCTCCTGGATGGACCCTGGGCCTTGTGGCACTGCCCAGCTGATGGCTTTTGTCACCAGGTTCCAGTCCTGCCTCCAGCCCCAGACAGCAGTGGGGGACCCAGAGGGCTAGGAAGCTGTTCCCTGAAGGGTTTCAGGAGACCAGAGACACCCAGAAGGAGCCTGGCCAGGCCCTTAACCCTGAATGAGAGGACTCCTCAGGTCGGTATGGCCCACGCAGGGGGTGGAGCGAAAAGGGATGGGGATAGTGGTGGGAACTGAGGGTGGTGGGGAAGTCATCTCTGGAACCCAGAGCCCTGGACTTCTTACCAAGAGCCTTCTCCCCCAGGTTCCCTGGCTTCTCCAGCCACAAGAGATTGCGCGGAGTGGCGCGGAAGGGCACAGCAAGCCAACTTGAGAGCCCCCGGCTGATGAGAGCCCAGGATGCTTTCATTGGGAAGGACCTGGGGGTCAGCGAGGAGCTCGCCCCAGAGATCAGAGAAAGGGTAGGAGTGAGGTGGTTCCCGCGTGGAGGAGCTAAGGAGATACCCGCCCCGCCGCCTCTCCCGGGGCCTAGCCTCGGGAGTGGGAACCTGGGAAGAAGTCTCTGCGCATCCTCAAGGTGGAGGGCAGAGGCCACACTAAGTGGAAGAGAAGGGGGCAATGGGTTCTTCATGCTGCCACTCCCTCAGGTTCCCATGGGGACTTGGGAGTGGAAAGAGTAGAGAGGGCCGATGTTTTTGGACTTCAGCACTGGCCGATGTCTGAGGAAGTGGGTGCGGCTCCTCTTCCTGTATGAAACAAGCAGTAAAGATTGCTTCTGGCTGCGTTGCACTTCTTTGGGACGTAGTCTCTGGCATCCCCTACCCCCCGGCGGCTGAGGGCTGCACCTGTTTTCTCAGTCAGAGCTGCCCACGATTGGCTGGACACCGTGGGTCACATGGAGTACATGGCGCTCCCCGGCAAAGACTCCCCACCCCCCCATGAGTCCGAGTTAAAACATGAAAGTTGTGATTTTACAATTGTAATTCACCGGGGCTGGGGTTAGGCGTCAGTGGCTGTCGTAACACCTGGCACAGTCTCTTCCCGTAAATCTTCAACAATAATAAATATCTGAATGATTTAGAGATTAGGCTTTGAGGGTAAGACACTCCCGAGAAACGAAGGGGAAGCTAAACTTCACCTAATGGGTAGTAGTAGTAGGCCCTGGCATACAGCTGCTGGGAGGGGCCTACCAGGATTAGGGATGCCCAGGCCAGGGGCGAGAGGGAGCGAGCGAGCGCATTTGGCCCATTCCTGGGGGAAGAAAGCTGAGCAGCTGCCCCCGCACACGTGGGAAGGCACTCGGGAGGGGAGGGCGCTGGCCGGCCCTGCTCTCTCTGGGAACCAGTGTGGAGAGCCGGGGGGGGGGCTCTCAGGGGCCGGGGGTGTCGGAGCCGGGTAGGTCGAACGCCCAGGGCACCGCGCCCCGCAGCTGCCGCTCCTGCAAGGAGAAACTCTGGGTGCGTATGCGGCTTGTCACCTCCTGGGTGCGCAGCGTGAGCCCGAAAATGTCCTCGTGGTAGCGTTGCTGATCCTGCCGGGAAGAAGCTCAGCGGATCAGAACCCGAGTCCGGGGTCCGAGCCGCGCCTCTGGCCCCGCCCCCAACCCCGGCTCGGGCCCCGCCCCCTCCGCACCCGCAGCACGCCGATGACGTCACCGGCCTCGTCCAGCTCCATGTCGCCCTCGGTGGCCAGGATTCGCTGCACCGTCTGCAGGACGCTGGTTGCCATGGTGACATCTCCGCAGACATACATGTGGCCGCGTTCGAGGCACAGCACGCGGTGCACCTCAGACGCCAGCTCGGTCCTCAGGATGTCCTGCACGTAGGTCTGAGGGGAGGCCGGAAGGGGGCAGGCGTGGTGTGTGAGACGTCTGCGCGGTGAGCGCGGGGGCCTGCCTGCCGCGGAGCGGGGGTCTAGGCACCGCAGGGGGCGGGGCGGGGCGGGGCGAGGGGCGGCCCGCCGGGGGCCGGGCGCGCCAGCTGGGTGGGCTCGGTGTCTGAGCTCTGTTGGGCAGGAGCAGAGGGTACGGGGCCGGGGCCGGGCGCGTTTAGCTGGACCGCCTCGCTCCTTCCTTCTCTCCCTATCAGGTCCCTCCGGCGCCCTGAGAGTCGCGCACCTTGGGGCTGTCGGGTTCCCTGGAGAAGGCGGTGAGGACGCAGCCAAACACTCCGCGCTGCTGGGCGTCCTGCACCTCGTCGCGGTACAGGTGATCCAGCTGGGAGCATCGGCAGCCGAACACCAGAGTCAGGGGCGCGGGCTGCAGCCCTGCAAGGCGACAAGGCGGCTTGGGAGGGCGCGGCCCCGGCAGTGCCTCCCACTGGCCACCCAATGCCCGGGTTGACCTTTTGAGTTGAAGCATCCGCTGTTTGGGCTGTTGGGCCTCCAGGAGCGTGCAGGACGCTTCCACAGAGGCCCTGCGGCTTCCCTGGTTCCTTGTCCCTCGCCTGTAGGGCTTCTCATTAGCACCCTGTGTCACGTCCCAACCTCCATCAGGCACCAGGAAGCCAAACAGGGCCCAGCCCTGGCCCCCCAGGTACCCCTTTGTGCTAATGAGCTTCTCTTCACCTTTGTGGCGTCCTTGGCCTCTTCCCCACCTGCCTTTGTCCCTAGATGGTGTGACTTCCTCCCACCACACGCCCCCAGCCTCACCTTTGCTCTCAATGTCATGCAGGCGCTGCTGCCAGAACCCCCGGAAAGGGGCGATGCCGGTGCCGGGGCCCACCAGGATGCAGGGCAAGCTGGGATCAGGTGGCAGCCGGAAGGAGGGAGCCCTAGGGAAGAGACGTTCGATCAGAGCCCCCACCCCCCACTCTCCTCCTTTTTACCAGCCTCAGGCAGGCGGGATGCAGAGAGGAGAACCCAGTTTCCACCGAGAAGGAAGTCCATACTTTTGAAGGCCTTAGAACAGGGTCTGGCTGGTGGTATAAGCATGGTGTGTTTGTTAAAAGAACTGCCAGCCAGCGGCAACTCCCTGCATCTTTGGTTTCTGGAGCTTGGGCCAAAGGAAACAGCTCGATCCGGCTTGGAGAATACTTGTATAGCTCAGCTTAGAGAAGTTAGGAAATATGGGGGTGAGGGGAAGGGACAGACTTTGGTTTACAATGGGTTCACTGACGGTGTTGGTTTTAAACAATGGCCTCAGTATTGGCATTTGGCTGGTATTCAGTTGATTGGTACGGTTTTAGCCCTCTGGCTGGGTCTGGGTGACCAGGCCTAGCAGGTGCCATCCTGGGACCTGAGACTTTTGGCTGCCGGGGCAGAGGTAAGACTTCTGGATGCAACACGAGGGCCGGGTCTCCCAAGTCCACATCGGTGTGACCAGGAGTGATCTTTGCTCTGGCTCGTTCTCTCTGGATTGAGGGGGAATCAGGGACCACTGTTTCCAGAGGCCATGCTTTCCACATTCAGATGGAGCCCAGGACTTAGAGGGAGACATGGAAACCACGCTTTCAAGAGCAAGAGGACCTGCTGATGGGATCGCAGCTGTCTCCAGGGCTGTGGTTTGAGGACAGGGCCCTGAGTCCCCATCAGCTCTGAAGCGACCTAGCGACACTCCATCCTTGCCGTGTCACAGGGGTCCCCCATGCCTCCAATAGCACCTCCCTCCCCCCAGAGTGAGTACCCTGGCCCTGTGCAGCCCCCACTGACTCCTGTGTCCCCAGCCATGCCTGTGGCACCTTCACTTCGCCCTCTCGACAGCTCTCTCCCTCCCGCAGGGCTCACTTACCCCCTGATGAAGCAGGGCACGGGGTCTCCAGCCTTGAGTTGGCTCAGCCACGTGGAGCAGACTCCATAGTGCAGGGGGCCCAGCCCATCTAGGGGAAGGGAGGAAAGGCCAGTGAGGGGCTGTCCCGCTTCTGCTGAGGCCAGACCCACCCTGCATGCAGCCTCACCCTGGGTCCTGTAGGCCAGCACAGCGACAGTCAGGTGGATCTCTCCTGGGTAGATGCTGGGTGCCGAGCTGACTGAGTAGTACCGGGGCTGCAGCAGGGGCAGCTGGGTGAGGAGCAGGGGAGCAGGCAGTGCCACGGACGGGAATTGCTCCAGCACCTCCAGCAGCGTGGGGCAGCGGAACCACTTCCACTCCTCGTAGCGCCGGGGGTCCTGGCAGGGCAGGATGCAATGGGCTAGGAGCCTCACAGCCTTGCCTGCCAACCAACCTCCTTGGCCCCTTCTCAGCTGAGCTGCCTTCGGCTTTCTGCCGCCTCAGTGCACGTCAAAAGTGTTTCTTTAAGACCCTAGGCTCCAAATACGAGTTAGCACCCTGGAGTTGGGTCTTAAAGCACCAGTACATGTTAACCAGGAGAGGAAAGTCCAGGGAGTACCTTACACGGGGGCTTCCTGCCACTAGGACCCCCACCCTCCAGCTCATCCTGCGTTTTAGTCCCCACTTTCTGATTGATGGGGCCCCCACCTGGCTGAGGGCCTCCAACTCCTGCTGTTCGCTGGGCTCTTCAGCCAGGGTGCTGAGCAGTCGAAGGAGTCGAGGGCTGGGTGGGGAGGTGATGTCCAGGAAGAAGGTGAGAGCCTGGCGCAGCGTGCACGGGGGCAGCCGGGGGTCCCGCACCCAGCTGGGGGGAGGGCCACCTGGGGAGGGGGTGCACAGGGAACTCTGAGGAGGAGGCCTCCTGCATCATGTGGACTGATGTTTGCTTTTTGGGGACTGACCATGCCTCATGTTTCATCAGAGAACCTGCCTATCTGGGTGGTCTCCAGTTAGGGTTAGGGTTAGGTGGTCTCCAGTGTTCGAGGGACCCCTGGCTGGACTGAGTGGGCCTCGGGCTCCTCTGCCCCAGTGCCCCCAAGCTTTCTTAACCCCAGGTATGACGTAGCAGCAGATCCCCTCGGTGCCACCTACAGAGCAAGCTGGACTGCCCCAGGGGAGCCTTTGGAAAGATCCCAGAGGGAGGGGGCCACCCGTTGGTGGTGTGGGAGGTGGGGGGCTGTGAACCACCCAGTGACAAGGCCAACCTGGCAAGGATGGCACGGCTGGCTCGGCACCAGCAGTGGGGCGCTGGGGACGGGGCTGGTTGCTTAAGGCCAGCCTGATTGGGGGAGGTGCAGGCTCTCGCTGTCCCGCCCCAGCCCGCGCCCCTCACCAGGGCTGCCTTTCTCCAGCTGCTCCACTGCCACAGGCTCCGTGGGTGGCGGCGGGTCCTCCACACGGCTCAGCAGCGCCTCCACGAGGCCAGGCCGGTTGGGTGGGCAGACTCCTATGTGGTCCCCTGGCTGGTACTGTAGCCCTTCCTGGCCACCAGTATCCAGACGCACCAGGATTGTGGCCCGGCTGTGGGTGCAGACAGGGAGTAGTTTTAGGGATCGTGGAGAGGAGAAGCGAGGAGAGAATGTAGGAGGAGAGGGCACCGAGGTCTGGGCACGGAGGGGCCAGGACAGGGCAGGAGGGTGGGGCAAGCAGTTTCCCTCACGTGGATTTGCTGCTTTGCAGGTTTTCTACTGAGAGGACTGTGGCCTGGAACATCTTCCGCCTGTGCACGTGGATCAGACCTGGGGGGGAAGGCGGGGCAGAGGCGACTGGGCCTGAACTGGGGAGAAGGGCCTGGCCCCTCGATGGGTCAGTTCTGGGGCCCCAGGGACCCCTGAGAACCAGTAGTCCTAGGATGAGATCAGAGCCATACCTGGCAGCAACTGTAGGCCCTCGGTCTGGGTACTCAGCCGGTACCTCTGGCGCTTCCAGCTCCGTTTGGGGCTAAATATGTCCCGGGCAGCAGCCTTGGCATCCTCTCCCACGCAGAAAGTCTCACAGGAGGCCTGGGGGATTAGAGAGTCAGGGCGGAGGACCTTCTGTCCCTGGGGAGTAGCCCTAATGAGCCCCCATGTGTGTGCGGGGGTGACGTGGAGGTAGAGCTGGGCCCGATGGCTCCCTGGTCACCTCCTTCCGTTCCTGGGTGACTTTCAGGAGCTGGAGAAGCCTGTCTGAGGCTGGCTCCTGTGGGGTGGGCAGCCCTGGCAGCAGCGGGAGGGAAGTTGAGGCTGAGACCAGCACTGACCTTGCCCTCTAGTCCATTTTCTGGCTTGGTTGCTGGGCCCAGGGGCACTGCCCGCCACTCCTCTGCACACTATTGATTTGTCACACCCAATGGTTCCCTTATCAATCCCATATCCCAGAGAGCGTGGTGCTTGGCTTCTGGTAGCTCAGTGAAGGCGTCTGTGTCCCTGAATTCACATCCCGCCTGCTGAACTTGAATTTCACAGCCCAACTTTCCCCATCTTTATTTCTCGCTGGGTTCTGGTGAGGACTCAGCGAGAGACTTCAGGTGGAGCCTTTAGCACAGTGTGCATAGCTCGCAAGTGCTCCAAGAGAGGGACACAGGATTCTGGTGGTGGTGGGTGTCCCATGGGGCAGGACTCCCAGGAGGCTGCACATCCTATCTGTTCTGGTCAGGCACACGTCCAGCAAACAGGCCAGAGCCAGGCGTGCAGCCCAGGGCTCATCTCTGATTGGCTGAGCCCCTATCACCAGCTCCTGTTAATCTTTCTTTTGTGGTGTGTGCACAGTCTTATATCTCTTCCTTCCTCCCATGGCCCCCTCCCTTCCTTCCTTACGCCACTGCTACCACCCCTGTTGGCTCGTTCTTCCTGCTTCTAGTTTGGTCCTGCTCTGATTGATCCTGCACCTCCACTGTAGTGTTCCTGAAACTACGTTGTAGTCTCCCCTCACCCCCAAGCTCCTGGGGGCTCCTTTTGTCCAAATTCCTCAACTCTTATCTTCCACCCCCCTTGGACCTTTTGCTCCAGCTTGACTGCCCCCTCCCCAGCAGACCCTGCCCCCTCCACCAGGCAGCCCTCCCCATCCCCTTGCATCCTGGGACACCCTCCTCCTCCTCCCCATTGGTCCTAACCAGCTCTGGGCTCTGGGGGGTGGCACTGTGCCGAAGCATGACAGGCAGCACTGGCAAGAATGAGTCTGTTCAACTCCAGCAAAAATCCCCAGACAGGCAGAGCTGCCTGCTGTGGAAGAGCAGGCTTCGAGAGTCACAGCCCTGGCACCCTCCACCCTCCTCTGGCCTCAGACCACGCCTTCCCGTCCAGGCACTGCCCCGGCTGCTCTGGCTTCAGATTTTTGGGGTTTCTGTGCTGGCATCAGCTTCAGTCCTCACTTCCGTCTGACCCTCAATCCTGCCTGCTCCCTTCAGCTGTGCTGCTGGGGCCAGGCACCTCTGTGGTTCACAGGGCCAAATTGTCCACTACTTGAGACAACAGGACTGGCTGTGCAGGGACGAAATGAGGGAGGAGTTTGGAAGGAGCAGCAAGTGACCAGAAACCTGGACAGAGTCAGGGCAGCAGTGAGCATCTCGGTCCTCAGTAGTGCAGGGGTAGGGAGGGAAGGCACGGGGGGTTAAGCTGCTGCCTGCACTCCGGCATCCCTTAAGGGCACCATCAAAGTCCTGGCTGCTTCACTTGCAGTCCAGCTCCCTGCTCATGCGCCTGGGAAAGCAGCAGAAGACGGCCCAAGTGCCTGGGTCCCTGCACCCACGTGGGAGACCTGGATGGGGTTCCAGGAGCCTGGCTTCCACCTGGCCCAGCTCTGGTGGTTACAGCCATTTGGGAAGTGAACTAGCAGTTAGAAAATCCCTGTTTCTCCCTCTCTCTCTCTCTTTGTAACTCTGCCTTTCAAATAAAGAAAATAAATCTTTAAAAAAAAAAAAAAACTTAAAAAGAAGGGAGTGAACGCACAGAGGGGATGTGTTGCCTGTGGCATGAGTCAGAAGGGGGCTGGCAGGCTGGAGGGGCCAGACATAGGGGACAGGCAAAGGGGCTCACCTGGAAGGCGGCCTGGGCCCAGCCGCGGAAGGCTTCCTCCTGGCCGCATAGCTCATCGCCCTGGCCCAGCTGCAGCAGCCGCTCCCCGCCCAGCTCTTCCAGCCGCGTGTCCACCGCACGAGCAAAGGCACAGAAGTGGGGGTATGCCCGGGAGCCCAGGCCGAACACACAGAACCTGGCGGGCAGGGCAGGGCATTTGCCACTAGAGACCCCGACCCAGCCCCTGTCTGCCCAGCCAACTTGACCGCCCAGGGTACCCCCCTTGATCCCCATGAGAGTGGCCAGACCTGAGGGTGCCCAGAGCCCCCGCACTGTCTGTGTTACTGGACTCCTTCCTCTTCCGCCGCCAAGAAGACACCAGCGGGTCTGAGCAGGAGACGCTGTTGAAGCGGATTTTGTAACTCCTGGTAAGAGAGAGCAAAGACGGGGGTGTCACAGGGAGCGGGAGACACATCTGAGGCTTTCTGCCTCTGGGGTGGGACGCGCCCTGCTCTTGGGAAGGGCTGGTGGTGGGGGGCAGGGGGGGCTGCTCTGCTTCCCTTTCCTCTCTGAAGGGACCTCAGGGCTGTCCCAGCCTCTTAGAATCCTGGGGCCTGGGAGCGGGCAGGTTCCCAGGGAGGGAAGGCCCCCTGAGGCTGTGATGGGGGCTCAGCCCTCCTCCTTCTGCCCTCCAGCTTATGGGGAAAACGACTGTGGCACAGAGGGGAGCTCTTCAGAGCCCCTCCCTTGCCGGTCTCCCACCTGCCCACACTCACTTGTGCTGCTCTGGCCGCGGAGAGCTGTTGTAGGGGCCGGACATCTCCATCAGGGCTGCTGCAAAACTCTGCCGGGAGGGGAGGTGTTTGCATCGCCGTTAGTTCTATTGTATCTCAGACTATACAGAAGCCTAAAACCACACCAGGCTGGTTCTTATTAACTTGTAACTCTTAATTTTTATGTGTTTTGAACACTTCAAAAGAGGCCTATTTGAAAAATTACATTACAGTGGCAAAAGAGAAAGGCCACCCTACCCTGCCCGTCTTAGCATCCGAGGTGTGTGTGCTACAGGAGGGAACTCCAGCCCGTTTTTGTGTTGATGGTCTTTTAAAGACGGTAACAATGTGACCATGCTAGGTTTAGCCAGTGTCTGCCAATCACCTCTCATGGAACTTTCCAGGTCAGCACATCGAGATCGACGTCACTCATCACATCACATCACAGTCTGGCACTCACGTCCACTGTGGCGTGTGCCTTCCCTCTGACTGACAGAGACCTGGGCGGTCTGTGCACAGTGCTCACACAGTTATCCATGCTCCTTGCGTCTTTTGCGTCTCTCTGTTGGGTGGTCTGCAGTGGGGCTGCTGATGGTGTAGTCAGATGATGGTTACAGCAGCAGGGCAGGGGGTGGCGCTGCCTCAGCCATGTCAGAACTGGCTATGCTCAGTCTAATGCTTCAGCCAGTTCTCATGGGTGGACGTCGCCTTACATTCTCTCTGCAGACGCTGTCCCTGGAGGGCGTCAGGCAGCCTCCTCAGAAGGCACCACTGCTAGTGCTGCCATGAAAATAGCTTAGAATGACACGGAACAAACCTTCCCATAGAACAAAAGCTACCAGGAAATAACCTCCCAATGCTAACGGTGGAGGTATTTGAGTGCTGGTTCTGTATGTTCACCATAATTGGCATGTATGACTTGAATTTCATTTTTGAATTATCTATTGCAGTGTAACCTATATCCAGAAAAGCACACATATTTTCACAAATCCAACATCCTCCTTATGCAAGCAGCATTCCATCAGGAAACATTACTGGGGCTGGCGCTATGGTGTAGCGGGTTAAAGCCCCAGCCTGCAGCACTGGCATCCTATATGGATGCTGGTTCAAGACCTGGCTGCTCAACTTCGGATCCAGCTCTCTGCTATGGCCTGGGAAAGCAGTGGAAGATGGCTCAAGTGCTTGGGCCCCTGTACCCACGTGGGAGACCCAGAAGAAGCTCCTGGCTCCTGGCTTCAGATCAGTTCAGCTCTGGCTGTTCCAGCCATTTGGGGAGTGAACCAGTGGATGGAAGACCTCTCTTTCTACCTGTCTCTGTAACTCTGTCTTTCAAATAAATAGAATAAATCTTAAAAAACAAACAAACAAACAAACATTACCAGCATCCCAGCATTCACCTGTGTGTCCCCTGCAAGTCCCCACAGCCCCTCACCTCATCTGGGGTGACTAACCATGCTTCTGCTTTCTGACGTCAGGGATTAGTTTTGCCTATTACTAAGCTCTGTAGGAAAGTGAATCCTGCAGTGTGAGGACACTTCAAAAGGTTGGTGGAAAATGGAATTAGTAAAACATAATGTGCGTTTCGCTAAGCTCTCTGAAGAGCCCTCATATGTCTTCTGTGCTTGGCTTCCTTTACTTCACATGTGAGGTTCATCGTATTGCGTGCGGTTGTAATTTGTTCACCTTATTGCTGTATTGGAATTTGAGCTTCCACGATTTACTTATTAAGTCTATTGTTGATAGTCGTTTGAGTTTTTTCCAGTTCATGGTATTATGAGCTATAATACCGCTGCGAGTTTTCTTTTAATCTTTTTTGAATATATCCCATTTCCCATGAAATGTATTCCTAGATTTGCTCCATTTTAAAAAGTTGGGGGTAAACCTAACAGACATCGAAGTGCACAGATCTTAACGGGTACACTGCAGTCTGTTTGGCTGTTCAGTAGTTTTATTTAAAAGAAGAAAGGACTTAAGCATGCATCTAGCCTGTGACCAAGAAATTCCACGCCTCGGTATTCATTTAAGAGAAATGAAAACATAAGGCTACAAAGCCTGTACAAGAATGTTCACAACAGCTTTATTCATAATAGCCTCAAGCTGGAAACAGCCCAAGTGTCTATCAACAGGGGAATGGGTAAACAAATGGGATATTCGTGCAATGGACGCTACTCAGCAGTAGAAAGGAATGGAATAGCGAGTCATGCAAAGCATGGGTGGATTTTTTTTTTTTTTGACAGGCAGAGTGGACAGTGAGAGAGAGAGACAGAGAGAAAGGTCTTCCTTTGCCGTTGGTTCACCCTCCAATGGTCACCGCGGATCGGAAGGCAGGAGCCAGGTGCTTATCCTGGTCTCCCATGCGGGTGCAGGGCCCAAGCACTTGGACCATCCTCCACTGCACTCCCAGGCCACAGCAGAGAGCTGTCCTGGAAGAGGGGCAACCGGGACAGAATCCGGTGCCCTGACCGGGACTAGAACCTGGTGTGCTGGCGCCGCAAGGCGGAGGATTAGCCTAGTGAGCCACGGCGCCGGCAACGGGTGACTCTTGAAAACAGGTGGAGAGAAGCTTAATACTGCCTGCCTCTATTCCTATGATGTGACAGAGCAGGTGGAACTAGTCGCAGCAGTGGTTACTTCTGGTAGGGAGGCAGTCGGGGAGGAGATGACTTGGAATTGGGAGAGAAGCTTCTAGGGCCATGGAAGTGCTCTGTATATTGTTAGGGCTTGCACGAGTGTATACACTACTTTTATGCTTATCAAAGGGTTGATCGATGGTGCTGCTATGATGTGACTGTTTGACCCCCAGAATTAATGTTTTGGAAACTTAATCCCCAAAGTTAATGGTATTTGGAAGTGGGGCCTTTGTGGGGGTGGTGAGGGGATTGGATCATGAGGGCTGTCACTGCAGGAATGGATTAATCCGTTCACAGATTTCATGGGTTATCAGGGAGTGGTTTCATTATTGAGGCGGGCTCTTCCTGGCAAACTTCCTCTGTCTCACTGTGTGATGCCCTCTGTCATGTCGTGGTGCAGCAAGAAGGCTGCCACCAGACGCTGGACAGATGTGGAGACCGATGTGCTGGCTTCCTGTAACAGGCAGATCAGAATGAGGGCTGAAAGGGACAGTGGGGCCAAGAGGAGACCTCTGTCAGGTGTCGCACTTGCTGCAGGGTACTGACTGACTTCAGAAGGTGCTTACTGCTAATAAGCCTTGTGATACCTAGGAGTGAGAGCAGAGAAGAGGCCAGAAACGAAGATAGCTTGGGGCAGCATAGAGAGGCTTCTGCCTGAAAGATAATGGCTACCAATACACGTCCAGTGGTGGCGGTATAGTTTTGTGTTGAACAAGTGAAGTTACCTAATCTGTGTTGGCATCTAGACAGTTGTGCTGAGGAGAGAGGGGGGCAGTAGGGACTGAGTTCCAGCTCCTGGCTCAACATGACTCTTAATGAGCATTTGGGGAGTGACCCTGCAGATGGGATCTCTCTCCCTCTTTCTGTCTGTTGCCCTCTCTCTTTTTCTCTATCTCAAATAAAAAGAAAAGAAATGAAAAAATAACCAACATTGTGTATTAAGTGGAGTCTCTCTGCTCTTTTCATTTGTCAACTCCTGGAACAGCCTAACCTCTCTGGCCAGCTGGGAAGTGCCCTCCTCATATTAAAAACTTGTTCTGTTAACAGAAGTGACCGAGGGGCACCCAGTTAAGCAGGGCTGTGTCTGTGGGCAGCCATATAGGTGAGCCTGGACTGTGGCTCGTGCAGGCTGAGGGCCCCAGCAGCAGGTGCACTCCCATTCTGTGGTCCTCTCAACATCTCCCTTTCCGTCCTGGATTGTGTGGGGGGTCCTGTCCAGCCACCCCAGTGTTGGGCCCCTTCACAGGGGCCCTGTCCTCCCAGGCCTCACCTCTCCATTCTCTGGTGGATCTCCATTCCCAAATGTGCTGGTCACCACCAACACCAGCGTCTCGTGTTCGAGGGACACCACATCATACTCGTCCATGCACAGAACCTGTGGGCAAGGAGAAGACAGGTGTCCTTGGGGAGTCTTGGCACCTGCTGCCTGGGCCTCCTCCCTCAGGCTGGACTCCATTCCTGAAATCCCTGTGGATTCCAAGGTTCTTTCTGAGTCCTCACCTGTGACCCTCTCCGGTTCTCCCGGGCACCTCTGAAGGTGCTGACAGACCCCCGCCCCTCTCCAGGTCTCTGCCCCTGTGGGCTCAGCCCTACCCGGGGGTCGAACGCCTTCCGGAAGAGCCTCCCCAGCTGCTGCGCGTAGCTCTGGGCCCGGCCAGTCTCGGAGCCGTACAGGATTGTGGCCTTCACTCTCTTTGCCATCACTGTGCCCATGAGTGAGGCAGAGATCTTCACTGCACTGCAGGCGAGGATTGGGTGAGGGCATCCCAGGTGCACAGAGGTGGGACCTCCCCAGGTGCACCGGGTTAGGGGGCCTCCCTGGGCAGGGGTCCAAACCCCATCACAGCAAAGTTTTGGGGTGGTGGGCCTAGGCCGCTGCTGGGCTGGGTTCCCCCAGGGTGCGCACTGGAGAAGGGTGGTGATTCTAGGTTACCCACTTGGCCACTTCCTTAAAGGTCTTCTTCCTGGTGATGCCAGTGCCCTTGGCTCCACTCCCCTTCCAGGGGTCTGGCTGCAGGGAAGTGATTGGGGGGCGGGGGGAGATGAGTAAAGAAAACAAAAGGTTAGAGGTTCCTGGAGCTGCTTAGCTAGCGAGCACTGGGCCCACGTGGGCAGGAGCCGGCTGGGGTGGGCACCTGGTAGCGGAAGGCAGGGGACAGGAAATAGTTGACCATCTCTTGATGGAAGACAGGAGTGAGGCTGCCCGAGATGGGGGGCACGATCCAGGCCCAGTCAGCAGGGCAGCCCCCTCTGGCCTTCTGCTCATTCTCCAGGTGCTTCATGAAGGACGCTGTGGCAGCGTGGTGATCCACAATGGTCACTTTGGCGAGCTGGGGTGGGGGAGGGGGGCTCGGCTCAGATGTGGCCCAGAGAGTCTGCCCGTTCTACCTTCTGTCACCCGAAAGCATACTGCACTCCGGGTCGCTCAAGTATAACGTATACTGTGTCCTCTGACACTACAGTGTCATCCCCCAAACTGCAGCCTGCATGGGCGTGCACCAAGTTCAACGTGCCAGAGCAGTCCTGATCTCAGGTATCCATATGCATTACCACCCTAACCCCCAAATCCTAAACTCGTGAGAACCCGTAGAGCTACTCAGTCGGCACTAGTTTCCTTAAACTATAGTTCCCAGCATGCATTACACTCCTCATACCAAGAATTCTCTCTGCTCTAGTGTTAGAATTGCCAGAATCCAGGTGGTGCCACAGCTTTTGCCCCGGGAATCAGTTTCTGGCACACACCAGGCCTGGTTTTACTGCACCTGAAGTAGTGTAGTTCCAGATCTGCAGGCCCAGTGTGCTCCATGGCACTTGGGCTGTGGAACTTGTTGGGGCACCTGTCCAAATCCTGCAGCGGTTTCTAAGTGCCTCCCTCTCTCCTACCCACTCCAGCTCCGGGCCCTCCCGGCCAGTCCAGCCTTTGCACCTGGTAACTGTGCAGCACAGCCAAGTTAATCTCCACCGCCGCCTTGTCTTTCCACAGCGACGACGTTGTCCGGGTATCCAAGTCCATGCAGACGGCCACATCCTGGGGAAGGGTGCTCATGGTATAGGTAGGGACAGAGGCTGAGGGGAGTGAGGCTGGCGGGTGCTGTGGGGAGGCCCGCCCACCTCATGTGGGGCTGGGTCAGGTTTTTGCCTGCAAAGGCATCCCAAACAGGAAACAGGACTTGGGGCATTGCCTTTTAGTCCTGCACCTGCGTTTCTCATCTCTAAAATGAGTCTTTACCTCTTTTGAGTCAAAACCTCTGAGAATTTGCTGAAAGCTATAGATCCTAATCTTGGGCACGCACGCGCGCGCGCACACACACACACACACACACACATACGCTTGCGCGCCTGGGCCTCCGTGGCGCCAGAGCTTTGTCTTCAGGTCTGTCTGAAGCAGCAGCCCTGGAGCCGGGAGCCTCAGATTCCGGGCGGCTGGCGTTCTGCAGATCCCAGGGAGGGTCAGGCTGCAGGCCCGAGGGGCGTGGCTCTCACCTCCAGGATGTTGTAGCGGTGAGGGTCACACAGGTTCCGTGTGCCGATCTCCGTGCTCATGTACCAGCCGCTGAAAGGGGCTGCAGGGAACTCTAGCCCCCCGATTTCCAGCAGCATGTTGGACACTGCCGGGAGGGCATACCAGCGAAGACCCAGGGCCGCGAACCACTCCAGCCTGGGGGTGCAGGGCGTGGGGTCAGCAGCCTGTGGGGCCTGCACCAGGGCCCCTCCACACCACAGCCCCTCCTCAAGGGGCTCCGGCACTGCCACTGCCACCCCACCCTTTTGTGCTCACGTGGGGTGCTCCAGGGACACCTCCAGGACCAACTCAGGGGGCAGAGTGAAGAGTTCTGGGGGCTCGTCCGGGACCTGAAGCAGCAGGGGCAGCACATCGAAGCGCCCGTTTCCTGGGGTCCAGCCATGCTGGATGCAGAGCTGTGGGGAGCGAGGCAGTGGTGGGTGCCCGTGCCCACCCTGGAAACCCCTTCCTGGGCACCTCCCATCCTCATCTCAACCAGAAATGCCCTCTTCCCGTTGCCTGCACCCGTTGGCCCGACGCCCATGCCTCACGCCGCTGGCTTCCCCACCTCGGTGATCTCCACGTTGGCTGGGTCCCCCCGCACAGAGCCGTCCTGCTGTCTGTAGCCCGCATAGCGCACCAGCTGGCTGTTCCAGATCCGGAAGTCTCCGCGGCCCGGGCCGCGCTGGGGGAACACTGTGATGGCTGAACTGAAGTGGAGGGGGCGGGGAGAGGGGACAGCCGGTCAGAGCGCCTCCTTCACTGCTGCCTGGGGTCCGGCGCAGTGCAGGGGAGGGCACTCACCGAAGGTTGCCCCGGTTGGTGGCATACTTGATGTGGTTGCAGATGTAGGTGAACATTTCCTGTGCAGACCTGCAGTCCCGGGCATCGAAGACCTGAGTGCACCGAGGTAGGGGGAAGGTGAAGGGTGTGGTTTTGAGTTCCAGCCCAAAGGGGTCTCGGTGTGTGGCTTGCTGGGAAGGAGGCCGGGGCTGGGGGAGCCACTCGCTGTGCACCATGGCTCTTTCTTCTCAGGGGCTCCTAGCCGGCCATCTGCCTCCATGAGGCCCCCTTCCTGCCCTGTGTCCCTGCTGGGGCAGGTTCCTCCTCACTCCTGTAGAAGCTGACTCACTATCTGGTACAGAGAGGGGCCCAGTCGCTCCCGATGCTTGGGGAAGGGCTTCGGCTGCCAGAGAGGCGAATTACGTGTTACCCATGTGCTCAAGCAAAGGCAGGTGGCGCCAGTCGGAGTCGGGCTGTCCTTGAGCACTGCTATTGGGCTGGCCTCCAGGGACCCTGTCAAGCCCAGCTTCTAATGTTAGGATGAGAAGAGGCCCCCTGGGGAAGGTTGGGAGGTCCCGTGCCTGCTCCGGGCTCAGGGGTGGTGGTGGTGGCCAAGCAAGGCACACAGCAGCAAGTGAGGCTCATTACAGAGGCTCAAACACGTTCAAAGTTGAGCTGAAGCTTTGAACAACTTGAAGGGTTGGCCAAGGTCAGCCAGGATGGCTGTTACTTTATTGGAGACTCCTTTGGGGTTTGCTGAGCACGTGGCCTTATTCCAAATTCTTTGGTGGCCAGTTACAGCTAAGAGTCCCCAGGCCATGAAGTCAGTTCCTCCGTGGGTCACTCGCTCCTTCGTGCCAGGGCCACAGGCCGCTCCCGGAATCTGGACTAGCACAGAGTGTGTAGGCCAGTTGTGGAGGATGGTGGGGCTGAGGTGGTGCGGAGCTGGGAGGGAGCAGCGGGGGTGTGGCGCCAACACTGGGCTGGGAGAAGCAGCCACCCAGAGGTGCCCCTGCTCCTCAGCGACACCCAGGGATCCCGCTCAGCTGCCTTCCTCCACTCTGTGGTTCTAGATTTTTCTCCTCTTCCAGCCCAGGCACTGCTGGGACTTACTCACCAGATGTTAGCTACTGGGCTGAGGGCTCCCCAGGGGCGCCGGGGATGGGGCTGATCCCCTTCGCTTTCCAGTCTCTAAGAGAACAGGCAGGGGCCGTCCCCGCTGTTCAGGACCACCCCCTTCCCTCCAGGAAGCCTCAGGAGCTACCCGACCCCCTCCCCTGTTGGTCCCCGTGCCCTGTCCTGGACACGCGCCCGCTGGCCACACCTGCAGCTTCCCCCACTGGATCCGGCCCACACAGCGGGGAGCGTTGCGCCAGGCCTGCTTGGCCCCAAAGACCAGTTCACTTTCCCGAAGCTGGTAGGTGCCTGTGGCTGCCACCTCGGCCTCCACTTCCTGAAGCCGTTGCTCATGGGCCTGGGAGCCGCTCCTGGGGAGGACAGGATGAGAAGGTGGGCCAGGCAGGCACTGTGAATGCTGGGAGAGGGGGCCCTGTGGGGACTGGGGAGGGAGAGGGGCGTGGGGAGGGCAACCACATGTTTCTAGGGCTTCAGTGGGACGAGGAGGGCTGTGGGTGTCAGCGGAGGCCTCACCTCTTGATGGAGCTGTAGTACTGGTTGATGAAGTCCCTGGCCTGAACCAGCAGCTGTTCAGGGGGTGGAGCGCCCTGGGTGGGCCGGCTCTGCAGTTTCCGGGGAAACACAAGGGAGCCCAGGCAGCGTCTTTGGGTGCAAGGCCCGTCCTGGGCCAGGGGAGCAGGAAGCATAAAGGTCAGCATCAAGTCAAGGGGGGAGGGGGCTTGGAGGCAGGAATTGGGGTTTGGAGGGAGGATGGGTCCAGGGAGGTTATGAGTCTGGACATGGTGATGAGGCTGAGTTGGCTTAGGGCAGAACTTGAGCCAGGAGTTGGGGTGAAAGCCAGAGGCAGAGGGCCCCCCAAGCCCCTTGCATGCCCTGCAGCTGTTCGGTTCTTCCTAGTTCTTTCCTCACCTGTTTTTGGAAACCAGGGGCTGATTTGGAGCAAGGTGCAGCTTCCTTGCTTGGCTCCCACCCGAGACCAGTTTCAGCTGGCTTCTCCCACCTCACCCCCACAGACGTGGGATGGGGCCCGGGCTCACCTGCTGTGCCTGGGCACTGAGGGTGTCGTAGGTGATGCTGCCCACCTCCCAGTTCTTCACTCGAGGGAACTTCGGCCCCTCCGGGGGCCGAGTTAGCGGAGGACTGTTGGAGCTAGGTTTGGGGCTGTGGGAGAGAGATTTGTTTCCCTTTGGCCTCCCTAGAGGTAGCCCAGGGCCCTTCCTACAGTATAATGGTTCTCGCTGGCTTATCATTTGTCTGCAAAATGCTACCTTACCTTTTTTTTTTTTTTGTCGTCTCTCACAACCATTTTAGGAGGGAGGCAATGGTGCACCCCCACTCCCAGTACAGATAAAAGGATCCAAGGCTTGGAAAAGTCACAGCTTCTGCCAGAGAGTGCACAGCTGGCGCCCGTTGGCCTGATCCCTGTGTCCGGCCTCTGGTGGCTTGGCCAAGCCTGGGGCTGCCCACCTGCCTTCCTCTGGAGACGGAGTGCTACCTGGGCTTGAATGTACCCCCAGGTTTCCTGTCCCAAGTGCTGGCGTGATGAGTGGTAGGGCTTTGGGGGAGGTGACCGGGTTACGAGGGCTCTGCTCTCGTGGATGAATTAACCATGCACAGGTTAATGGGTTATTGCACGAGTGGCTTTGGTATCAAAGTGGGCTCTCTCTGGCCAGCTTGCTCTGGGTCACCAATGCCTTGTTATGACACAGCAAGAAAGTCATCACTAGACACCGGCTCCACAACCTCAGGCCAAAATAAACCTCTATTATTTATAAAGCCCCAAGTCTCGGGGACTTTGTAATAGCAACAGAAATGGCCCAACGCTGGTGTCCTCAAGCCCTATCTGCCTCCAGGGGGATGGAGCCCAGCACGCCCGAGGGGAGGGAGGCCCCAAGAGGGAGTCCTTGGTCCTGATTTCTCTCCCACTCGCACCCCCTCCTGACAGTAGCCATCGTGTGAAGGGAAGGCTTCCAGTCCTTATCATTTCCTCCCAGAGCCTACGGCCAGTTGTGGGAGGAAGGGAGGGACTCGGGCCGCGGGTGCACCTGAGCCGCAGGCCCCGGGCCCTCAGCCCTGCCCTGGAGCCCAGCTGCCTGCTTGGCCCCCCACCAGGCCCCTCAGTCTTCCTCTCTCCAGGGAGTTTTGGTCCAGGGAGGACGCTCCTACTCTGCAGACTGAGGCGGCAGGATCCAGTTTGGGGCTGACGGCCACCAGGATGCTGGGGCCTGGAGCAGGAGAAAAGAGCCCGGTGGCTCTGTCTTCCCAGCCCCTCACCTAAAGGTTTCCTGGCCTGGCTCCCTCTCCCATACCACCCCACTTTTTCACCCTCCTGGGACGACCCCTCCCCGGCCCCTTTCTTCTCCAGAGAAATAATCAGCAGTGCTCTTTGTTGAAAGCTTGCCCTGTGCTAAAAACTCACAGCCTTTTGGGGTCAGAATTACCATTTTTACATAAATGGGGGCTGGGAGAGGCTAAGCAACCTGCTTGAAGTCTAACAGCCTTTGGTGGCAGAGCAGCATTCAAACCCTGGCCTGACTCTAGCCAGCACCAGTGCCCCCTCATTCACCTGTCCTGATCCTGGCCCGTCCTCATCTTGGCCTCATTTCTGAGCCTCTCCGTCTGTTCTGTCCCCACTGATAGCCCTTTCAGGTTGGCCACCTGGCCCTCCTGGCCGGGCTGCAGGCTCCAGCTGTCCCTGCCCTGGGCTTCGGGCCTTGACACTGCCCTCCTGTCTGTCTACAGCCCGCGCAGCTCTTACCTGTGGTCTGGCGCTGGAGGGGTTGGGGGTGGGGATGCGGGCGCCCGGCTGGGCTCTGGTGCTGGGGAGGCTGGGCCCTGCTTGCCGCACAGCCCGAGGCCCAGCCCCAGCCCCAGGCCACAGGGTGGCCCGGGCTCCTGGCCCACACTCTTCAAGTTGCCCATGTCAGCGCGCCTCAACTCTGTGGCTCCCTCCAGCAGAGCCCCGGCCTTTTCCTTAGGAAGTGGGGAGGGGGGCCGAGGGGAGGGGACAGTGGGAGGGGGCTCTCTGGAGCTGGCCCTCGCCCCGCCCCTGTCCCATACACAATGGGACAGGAACAAGGCTGGCCGGGAGGCTCTAAAGCCTCGGCTCCACGCCCGCCCGCTGGCCCAGAGGGTGGGGGGCCGGACGTCTGGGTTCCGCCAGGAGGGCCAGGGCTGATAAGTGGGAACCCAGGTGTCCCGCTGGCCCTGGGGCTGGAGTGCAGGAGCTGGGGCACAGTGGCTGGGACAGGCGGGCAGGCGGGACAACTGGAGGTCAGAAAGACCCTTGCATAGTCAGAGCAGGCCCTGGACCTACCCCTGCCAGCTTTTCCCTGAAGGGCAGGTGGAAGGTGAGCATTGCGTCGTGGCAAGGGTGTTGGAGCCCCACTCCCTTAGTGAGCACGAGGGACCTCTAGGGTCACCCCCGGCTCTCTCTTTCACCAGTCTCCCACTTGTGGTTTCTCGGGAATACAGGCCCAGCAAGGATCCAGTGACCTTTTGTCCTTGTGTGTTACATTAGGGGATCCCTTCCCCTCCCAACCTCAATTTCCTGGAACCCCCGCCCAACCCCCTCATGACTCAAGTGGGGGACACAAAAGAGCAGGAAGCTGCCATCCAGGGCCTCCACCCCCAGCCTGTCATTCAATGACGCATGCTTCCCTGGGGTGGCAAGTCAGCAGAGACGGGGCAATCGGGTAGAGGCTAGAACTGCCCATGGTGGAGAGAGCTCGACACTGGGCAGCGTGTGGAAGCTGGGGAAACTACAATTCCCAGAATGCAGGTGAGGCCTATTAACACTCTTCAGGCACTGCACGTGGTAGTGCATGCTGGGGTTTGTAGTTTTGTGCCATCTGAGGGCTGAATAAAGGACATGAGCTGGGCATCTGGGTCTACAGGGGTTTGAGCTTTGTGGATTTGAGACCTCAGAGACGAAGAGAAACTGCGTGAAAGAAACGGAAGCCGAGAGACTGGGAGAGGTGGCGGCTGGGAGAGGCAGACAGGCAGACAAATAAACATGTGGATTTGTGTTGGCCAGACTCCTTTGGAAAACAGTAGAGGATACGATTGGGTTGGGCCTGGGGCGGGGCGGGGGGTGGCAGGCAGATTGGATGGAACAGGTTGTGCTGAGAACTCTGGGGTCACACCAACAAGGTGGGGTCCCCCAGGGTGGAGGGTGGAGGGTGGAACAGAGGAGCCTGCTTCCAGACACCGGTGGTGTGCTGCCCTCTCTCAGGACAGAGGAGACAGACAGGAGGCCTGTGCTCAGGCCGAACCCCCAGGCGACAGCCAACGTGAGATGCCCATGTCCTCAGCACGTCTTGGCCACACCACAGGCCACAGGCTGTTCCTGTAGCCTGACTCCATCTGGGCTCCATGCCGCTGCCAGATACCTCCCAGAGCACGCCTTGGCTCTCCCAGAAACTGTCAGCCGAGGCCAAAGCCACCTTGACGCACTGGGCTGGCCCTCAGCTTTCCCAGGGTGCTGCCCGTGATACACACGTGGGCTTTCTCACAGGTTCCCAAATCGTTCTTGTGCAGTCCGCCTCTGGGCCTTTGCTTGTACTGTCCCTTCCACATTTTCTTTTCCCTCTGACTAAGGAAACATCCTCCCCCCTTCCTCCTAGTCTGCCCTTGGCAGCTCTGGGCGGACTCTGCCCCGACCACCCTGTTAGAGAGCCAGGTGTCTGCTGCAGGCAGTGCTGGTGGCCGACTACCTCCGGCTGCCGTGCCCATGGGCTCCGCCCGGCGTTCAGTCCACAGCCTCGTGCTTCCCTGGAAGCTTCAGACCGTCCCTGAGCCCTGGGGGAGGGAGGGGGCTCACCATTCTTGCCCAGCTGGGACCCCCGATGCTGGGGTCTCTGCTGGGCTGCTCGAGACTCTCAGAGCTTTTCTTCTTCCTTCCCTGTGCCCACAGGTGTCAGACCTGCATCTTGTGATGGATCAGGTACGGGAGGGTCTGGCCCTTGTACTATATTAGGCCCCCAAACTCCCTGGGTCTGGTCCCACCAAGGCAGCTGCAGGTGGGACTCAGAATCCACTGAATCTGTAGCAGGCTAATTTTTAAGTTGACAATTTTGTACGGCCTGCAGATGGTGTTCTAAATATCCAAATAGCCCTTGGCAGGGAAAAGGTTCCCCATCTCTGTTCCAGATCTTTCTTCTGGCCAATCCTGCTCCCCCCAGCTTCCCTGCCATCTTCCTGAGGCAATACCCCCAACGGCCCTCTTAGACTTCTTTTTTTTTTTTTTAAAGATTTATTTATTTGAAAGGTAGAATTACACACATAGAGAGAAGGAGAGGCAGAGAGAGAAAGAGGAGAGAGAGCACTCTTCCCCAATTGGTCCCAACAGCTGGAGCTTCACTGATCTGAAGCCAGGAGCCAGGAGCTTCTTCTGGGTCTCCCAGGTGGGTGCAGGGGCCCAAGGACTTGGGCCATCTTCTACTGCTTTCCCAGGCCATAGCAGAGAGCTGGGTCAGAACTGGAGCAGCCGGGTCTTGAACTGATGCCCATATGGGATGCCGTCACTGCAGATGGTGGCTTTACCTGCTATGCCACAGCACCAGCCCCCCTCTTAGGCTTCTAACTCCTTCTTGGGCCTGCCTTCGGGAGGACCCAGTTGACACCTAGGCTGGTTCCTTTGGGATCATCAGCACCCCCTTCTTATGCTTCCCAGGCAGCTCCGGGTCACCCTGTGCCCAGGACTTGGGGATGTCTCTTCCCCTGGTTGTTCCCAGTCACGGTTTTTGGGCAGCTTGTGGTGTGTGTGAACACTCGCCCGGATGACGATGGGTGCTCTGGAAGACACAGGACAGTTCTGCTTGCCTGGGGCCCTCTGCTGGGTCTCAGCACCCTCTATTGAGCAGGTGTTTCATTTTTTTTTCCTGCTGCACCCCAGAGACTCAAGCCTGTGTTTGGAGAGGAGGTGCCGAGAAGAGATTTGGCTGAGACTAGATGGGTCTGGGTGAATGGGAGGGGTCCTAGAGGCAGCACAGTCTGGCTACTGGAACAGCTGGGCATGGCTCAGTACATCAGCATTGGGCCAGGCGAGGCCCGAGTTATTTTTTTTTATTTTTTAATTAATTAATTAATTAATTTTTAAGATTTATTTATTTTATTTGAAATTCAGAGTTACAGAGAGAGAGAAAGAGAGAGAGAGAGAAGTCTTCCATCCGATGGTTAACTTCCCAACTGACCGCAACAGCTGGAGCTGTGCTGATCCGAAGCCAGGAGCCAGGAGCTTCCTCTGGGTTTCCCATGCAGATGCAGGGTCCCAAGGACTTGGGCCATCTTTCACTGCTATCCCAGGCCACAGCAGAGAGCTGGATTGGAAGTGGAGCAGCCAGGTCTCTAACCAACGCTCTATGGAATGCTGGCACTTCAGGCCAGGGCGTTAACCCACTGCACCACAGCACCGCCCCCCCCCCCCCCCCGCCGAGTTCTTTTTTTTAATCAATAGGCAATCTTATAAATGTCTTTTACTTGATTTTAAAAACATATTTATCAGGGAGAGAGAGAGAGAGGTCACTCATCCACTGATTTCCTCCTCAAATGCCTGCAACCTTCAATAGCCATGGCTGGGCCATGTCCAAAGCCAGGAGCTGGGAACTCCGTTTGGGCCTCCACGTGGCTGTCAGGAGCCCGAGGACTTCATCCATGCCCACAGGGTGTGCATTGGCGGGAAGCTGGAGAAGAGAGTGTAGCTGGGGCTGGAAGCCACGCACCTGATACAGGATGCGGGTGTCCCATCCAAAGCAGCGTGTTGACTCCCACAGGAGCCACAAGGGGAGCCTTTCCTGGGTGGGTGGGAAGCCTCCGTCTCCCCCTCTCCTGGGGCCGGCCAGCGTTACCCCGCGTGTCCTAACTTCCCCCAAGGCACCCTGCTCAGCCATGCTGGTTCCTCCGGTGCTGATGCAGGGTCCTCCACTTCCCTCCCTGGGCTCTGCCCCTTCAGGGCATTGCTCTTCTTCTTCTTTTTTTTTTTTTTTTGACAGGCAGAGTGGACAGTGAGAGAGAGACAGAGAGAAAGGTCTTCCTTTGCCGTTGGTTCACCCTCCAATGGCCGCCGCAGCTGGCGCGCTGTGGCCGGCGCATCGCGCTGATCCAATGGCAGGAGCCAGGTGCTTCTCCTGGTCTCCCATGGGGTACAGGGCCCAAGTACTTGGGCCATCCTCCACTGCACTCCCTGGCCACAGCAGAGAGCTGGCCTGGAAGAGGGGCAACCAGGACAGAATCCGGCACCCTGACCGGGACTCGAACCCGGTGTGCCGGCACCGCAAGGTGGAGGATTAGCCTAGAGAGCCGCGGCGCCGGCCCAGGGCATTGCTCTTTGCCGCATCCCTGCGGCCGAGGTGTTTAGATTTCCATGTCATGGTGGCTGACTGCCTGTACTGTCAACCACATTTTAGAGTATTTCCCAAAAGACCAGTTTTCAAGGTTTTAGGGTTATAGCTCTCCTGACAGGAAATAGCTTGCATTGGCCAGCGCCACGACTCACTAGGCTAATCCTCTGCCTATG